GGACCTGCCGTGCGACCAGGGAGGGCCAGGACCATGGCACGGCCACCACGGTCGCCAGGGAGTTGGGGTCAGGGCCAGAAGTTGCTTAGTTTTAACTCAACCCCCGGCGCGGGTTCCCCCTCCGGCCTTGGGGAAGTTGCTTGACGCCTCTCGCCCGTCTCAAGGAGGGATCGTGTCCGCTGCCGAACCCTGCAGCAGCTGTCACCGAGCAGTTGCTGGGCGCGCGCTGCCCTCCCATCTGTTGGGTGACATTGGGCTGCGTCTGTCGCTGATGGCAACCGTCCTGCTGGGCACTGGGGTTCCAATACGGATCTTTCAACTGGAATTTGGGATTGCGGTTCATCTCCGGGCTGGGCCCACCACATGCTGGTAGCCCGTTCTCTAGGAGGTTGTGTTTTAAAGCGGGAGCGTCTGTTGTGGTTATTTATGGGTTTTTCGTTGGCGTTTCATTTAATTCAGGTGAAAGAGGAGGCGGTGAGGGCCGTGCGGCCACGCTAACTTTGCTTAACTGAGGCAAACGGCTGCAGAACAGCTCAATGCCCCAGGTTTCCCACTGCCTGCGAAGGATGGGCACTGGAGGGCTGATGGTTTGAGATGGAGGCCACCGTACCCAGCTCCAGCCTAGCTGGGAGTGAAGCGATGGGATGGCCTGGTTCCTTCTCTCAGCCAAGGCCAGAGCAGCGTTTAACCGCTGGGGCCTGCAAACGCAGCCGAGGGACTGCTGAGGAGTGTGTTCCAGGGGGTCTTGGCCTCCGTGGTGCTGAGAGCGTGCCCAAAACCGCACGGACTGGCTCAGCACGCTGGCCGGAGAGAATCGGTGCTCCTGTTCCCTGACCCTGGTGTTAGCGGAGGGCAATATCCGCCTGTCTGTGTTCCTTGGGCATCGTAAGGCTTTGGGCACTGTTTGCACAGCCTGACTCTTTCTCCAGTAACCTCGCAGTTGTTTCTTTCTCTGCTGATCCCGTGCAGTTTTGCAAGGGGAGGGAGAGGTGCTAAGCATTTGCAAGCTGTTACCAGCTTAGGGTGGTGACTCTAAACCCTTTCCCTTCCCCTGCAGAAAGGTCCCGTGACTTCTACGTTTTTTATTTCTGATACTTTTCAGAAAAGCTGGATCCTCAGAAGCGTTAGTATATTTTTTATTTCTGATACTTTTCAGCTGGATCCTCAGAAGCGTTAGTATTTCCGTGCTTGAGTTTAGTTGGTGTTGCATTGTCTTGATGGATTGTGTGTCTTCTGAGCACCTCCCTAGGTCAGAAAATGGCTTTTGGCTCTTCTGCTGTAACTGTTCCCGCTCCAGTTCTGTAGCAGTTATGACTTCACCCCGTCAACAGGACAAATCCACGGCGCCGCTGGGTGCTACCCACACGTTACACCATTTCTACACTTCGGTTTTCTTGCCATGTCCTTTTAAAACGTTTTATCAGTAATGTGAAAGGATAATATTTGCCCGGTATGGGGCACAGCTCCCTGTGCCTTGCTGAAAGGTGTTAAGTATGAATGTTGGTTTGGGGTGAAAATCGGGCCGCTGGCACAGAGGTGTATGAGTAAAACGTTGGATGATGCTGTAACGTCTTGGGAATGGTATTTTTTTTTTCCCAGCAGAAAAGATACAAACTCTGCTGCAGGAGGGTTT